CACACACTCACCCCAGAGTACTCGATATTCCTCGGGGCGGGGTTATAAGCAACCTCTTCCTTTCACGCTAATAAATTACATTCATTACAATAAATTAACCCAAACACAACACTCGATAGAAACATAGAGGTCTGGTCACATTCAGTCCACGAGAGTTCTCGATATTCCTCTGGGCAGGGTTGAACCCTCTCCACTCTCACTAATAAGTTACTTTTACTCTCCAGAGGTCACATACTCACCCCAGAGCACTGAATAGTCCTCAGGACGGGGTTATAAGCGACCCCTTCCTTTCACGCTAATAAATTACATTCATTACAATAAATTAACACAAACACAACACTCGATAGAAACATAGAGGTCTGGTCACATTCACTCCCCCAGAGTACTCGATATTCCTCGGGGCGGGGTTATAAACCAACTCTTCCTTTCACGCTAATAAATTACATTCATTCCAATAAGTTAACATAAGTCAAACACAGACACAACACAAACACATAAAACTATATACATTTAAAAATCCCTATAGCCCTGAGGTACCGGAAGAGCGATCTGTGCCCGCTGCCGTGCCTCAAAACTACGCACAGGTCCGATGATATGCCAAAATATTGTCTATATACATCAAGCCTTCTTCAATTGAAGAGGTGCTCGACCGTTATTCTATCCTTACATAACGGGCCAGAAGGTGCCCGTGCGTTTTTTTAACGAGGCTTCGCAACAGCAGAGGTCATATAAACCCTCAGGGTGCCGGTGTTTTTGAAAAAAAGCCCATTTGTAAGTATGTTGGATTCGAATGCAGAGCCGCTGGATTCGAACCCGGGACCTTAAAGTGATGAGCGCCGTGTCAAAGACTAAACCTTGCGGCCACCAACGCCCCCCGTGCGTTATTCTTGTATGACCTATGCATAGTCTTGTCAGTATGGTCTTTTCCCTTTTTAAACCGTTCTCCGTTGACCAGGGACCGACTTCTTTCTTAACCTTAAGTTTGGCAGGGTTATTTCTATTTCTTCGAGACCAGCGGTTTTCCCATTCTCTTTTTACAGAGTTTGAAATTAGTAGTTTTAGGTCCGCTGGGCGTATAGGTTGGGAATCGTCGTGGGGCCTTCCAGCGGCTACTTTGGCCGCCCTGTCTGCTTCTTCGTTCCCGGTTATCCCCCCCCCATGTCGTTATTGACTTCCGATTAGCCCAAAATTTCACGTAAGTTATTGGTACCAGAGAGTATGTGATTGCAAAGCTTTCCCAGGTTAACCGACATTGCGTTGCCGTCGTTTCCCGTGTTTTCTTGAACCCAGCACAATCCGACCTGCCATCCCAATTCTGCCCACAGTTTGCTAAGCGTTGCATGAATTTTCTCCCCGCCATTATTATTATTTAGGTAATGCATGAGCATGTCCAATGATACCGCACCACCTTTATATATCTTATCAGCGTTCGTAGGTGGAACGAGGTTTTCTGAAGCTCTTTCTTAAAGCCATTTCGTCGCATGTATCAACACCAGAATTTCTGCCTGGGATGGATGGTTAGGGGTTGGTTTGGTGGAATACCTCGCTGCCAACTGGTACTGAAGTGTATATCCGTTTGCATGATATACCAAGGCACAACAACCTACAAATTCACCTATCTTTCTACCATCCTTAACCATGGTGTATGTTGGAACTCCATCTAGATTCCAAGACTAATTTCCAACTTAAATAGGATTTGCTGTGATTGAATTCTATTTTGTTTTCTACGGACCATTTTCTCTTTACTCTCTCTTACATTTACTCTCCACCATTTACATACACTAGTTTGCCATCTTTCCAAGATGGTATTCGTCCTGCGCAGCGGCCATAACAGGTCATCCGCAAATGAGAAGACCTCTACCCCCTAAAGGAAAGTCTAATATGAGAAGTGTGTTGTATAATATAGTCCGAAACCGAGACAATAAGACCCTTGTGGTCATCCTATCTCAGCACGTTTAAATATTTTAATATAGCTTGTTGAAAAGGTGGAAAACCTATCTTTAAAATAATTTTTGCAAAGGGCGAAGAGATTTTTAGGTCTTTCCTTTCGACCAGTTGTAAGAATATTGTATTCCAATCAGCAGCCACAAATGCCCGCAATATCCATCGAAATCAGAAGAACTTGTTTATCCGCTATGTTTTTAATTTGTGAAAGTTCATTAATGGAACCTCTCTCATGAGTGAAGCCATATTGTTTTGCCTCAAATCCGCCATGATTCTCTCGATCATGAGTATTTCCAATATTTTCCCAATAATAGGTAGCAAACTAATGGGCTTATATGTGGACACATCTTCTTCGTGTTCCTTCCTTGGTTTGATATGCAAGGCAATGTTAGACAATTTCCATAGTTTTGGAAATTGACCTTCATTTAAACATAGGTTATACATGGTTGTCTCACTTAACGGATATCTATTGCAACAATTTTGTTCAATAGTTTTGGTTAATCCATCAAGTCCTGGTGCTTTGCCTTCTTTGCATTGCTGTATTAATTTCTCATATTGTATAAGGTTTTTCATTACAATGTCTAACATAGATCTGTTATCCTGTTTAGGATGTATATTTTTGGCACTCATTTCCCCATGATTACTGACAAGGGTTTCTCCATATTTTGCATGTAAGTGCTATCTTCTTTTTTTATATTAGTAAAACATCTTTGCTGAAGCAATTTTGTAAACCGTATTCCCCGGACTTATCAGTTACGTTGCAGTAAGTTTTCCAAGAAAACAGTTTATCTTTTTTTAATCATGTTGGTTTGAGCCATTTTTATGGAATACGATTTGTCTCTCCGTGTTCCAAAGATGTACAATATTGATGGATGTTTGGTACCCTTTTCAGTTGCCTAACCCTCCATCGTTGTTGTTTGAATTCTGGTGTCCAGTAAAGTACAGATTTCTTCGCATTGTCAAAGTTTTTCGTATATATTGGGATCCTGTCATTACTGACATCTTTCAGTATTTTCTTTACGAAACTATTTGTACCATCTCAGCTTTCCTCTTCCGTAATAGCATTTTCAAATATCGAGTCCATTATACATACCACAGTTCTCTAATTCCTGGTTTATTTTACTCCTACTTGACAGTTCATCTTTGATATTTTTGTCAATACAAGAAATTAATTTTCCCAGTCTGCAAGTTTGGTTTCATATTTATAACTTCCTTGCAATTTTGTCTGAGCACTAGCACTTATTTTAACGTTATTCACAATGTTGGTCAAAATGTGCTGGTTCGAGGCACTCTCATCTTTTCTGTTTTGCCATTTCATTAATTTTGGCAGAAGAACTGAGTTATACAAGATAAGTTCAATAGAAATAGTTAGGTAGAATAGGTTTTGTTAATAAATGGAGGCATAGCGTCATCTTCATTGAGGACATTCAGACCCGCGAAATAATTCTTTAACTTTTCGCCTCTTATATTTGTTTTTTTGACAAAATTTAGTCATTCAAGTCAACGCCGTTTAACAGCTTCCAATTTAAAACTTTCCATGTTTTTACTACTTAATATATCATTTTTATCCCAGAAATAATCACTTATTGACGCTACTTTGCAGTTCCCTATATTTAATTCAGTTTACTGATGAATCTTCAACATGCCTGAAAATATCTCGCTATTTTATAATTATTATAATAGCTGTTATTTTTCCGCTCATTCCCCGATTGCAGATAACCGATAATTGATTAAGGTTTTAAGTTGAGATAAAAAAGTCAGTGTCACGAGCGGGATTCGAACCCATGACCTTCGGCTTGATACGCCGCTACGCTACCACTTGAGTTATCGTGACTTCGATCCCCTCGGGCACTAACTTCCCATCTCAACCACACCTTTTTGAATTTTCCCTCCTTTTTGCCATTTTTCAATTGTCGTGTAATCTATTTGATTCTCGGCGACAAATGACGACGGCGACTGTTTTATCTCAACTTAAAACCTGAAGTAATTGATTGATATTAATTGGTCAAGCGGACCACGAAAAATAGTGAATTTAATAACCGATAATGTTTTTCTTTGTAGCAAAGGGAAACGGGAACAGTTTGGATCTACCTCGACTACCAACCTTCTTCGATCCTGTTTCCTTCGGTCGGTGAGTATTCTCAAAACTATTTTTCTCTCACTCGCAAACAAATCTTTATTTTGTTCGCCAATGTCTTCACATGTACTTTTCTCATTAATTTCTGCCGGGACATTGTGTATTATTAAACGGAACAGGTGCTTCGTACTCATATCCGCCAATAAACCATCTTTGTACACTTCTTTAATTTCGGTTATTAGACCCGACCGCATCTCACGATATCTGAATAACTATCGATTAACGGTCACTAATCTCTACACATTTCGGTTATAAGTTTTTCAAAATCATGTTTACTTTCACTTTGAACTATCACTGTACCACTCCTAGCCGACGACCCTTTGAGAATCCCCTATGCCCTATCTTAAGTTTCACTGGATTAACTTTTCCCTTTACTATTTTTTTTCGTTGAATTCGAATTCATATCAGTAATTGGCTTTACAACGAGGAAAACATCTCACTAACTGTTACTGTACAAAAGTCGCTCAGCTCGTCGAACATTGTCGACAAGTAGTTTTTCACCGAGGATTTTATTTTTCATAGCGTTGAAAACATCAGTCATTCGGTCATCTCATCCTTGACACGTTTTTTCACTCCCAAACTCATACTTCCCCGGATATTCGTCATATTATCAAGCGTTCCATCGAGTGTTGAAAACGTTGGTCCCACTCGATCGCCATCTTCAGAGATAGTTTTTGTAACACCTTGGATTAAAAAACAAACATGCCCATCTTTTTGTCATAGTATTGATTTACACAACCGATAAATTTAGAAGAACAGGCGCAAATGAAAATCTCGAAAATCCGTTCGACCCGGGAATAGAACATACACGGTTGTCGAACACGACAAAAATGTCAATCCATTTTCCATGAATTGTACACACGCATAAATGTATCTAGATAATGTTTATTTTTACATTTTTTTTGCATGTATAACTTACGTGTGGCGCGTTACTTCCTTGGCTGAACATGAGCAGGCCGTTTGCTTCCGTTGTTCGCAACTTGACGGAAACCGACCCTGAACGTGGTGCGTCCCAGCTCGGAAGTACCTGCAAAAAAAGTTTAAAAATCCTTTAGAATATAAACAAAAATACTGTATACAATCTAATTAATGACCAGCCATTAAAATTATAATTGCACAATAAAGAAATATCGTAGATGACGCCAATAAAAAAGACAACGCTCAGTTTCTTCATCAAGCTTTCGATACCTTTCCCTTGCGTCAGAACGTTGAAACTTTAATTAATAATTGAATCAGTTGTCAAATATTATCTATTTATACTTTCGACAACAGTGCTTTATGTGTAATTAAATTAAAAATTTAGATACCCATTGTCCATGGGTGCCTTATTACTGATACTACTTTAATTACAAATCAATTTAATATATATTAAATTGCGTGTCGTAATATTGCTTTATTTTAATAACTAGCAGCTTAACTTGATTTAAATTAGGTTTAATTTTAATTAAAGCATAAGACTTTTAATTTAAAACTTTTAAACTTATTATAAAGTCCTTAAAATAAAATAGATGATTTTTTTGTTTTACAGCGCTAAAGGTTTGCTAAGCCTGTAATCGATCGCAGTTATTTGTTACTGTGTGTGTGAGTCAGTAAGGAAGTGAGTGAGAGAGAGAGATAGAGAGAGAGAGAGAGAGAGAGAGAGAGAGAGAGAGAGAGAGAGTGAGAGAGAGAGAATAGAAAAGCTGATAGATAAATACATTTGTTAATTGTTGTTAAACCAAGAGGTATAAAAGCATTTAATGCATAATAAACACAGGTTTCGATGTGACCATTTGAATAAATTAGCAAACAAACATAAACTTTTACGCACAATAAAGGTTTTAAAAAGTTAAAAACTTTTGTAAATAAATTAGTTTTGTCGACATATAATTAGCTTATTATTTTGAAACATATGTATATACATAAGTACATACATCTATCTATTTATATTTTCTCTCCTCCTCTCTCACACTCTCTCTCTCTCTCTCACACACACACATGCCCACATACGCTCTTTCTTGCCCTCTCTCTCTCTCTTTCTCTCTATATATCTATTGCTATTTCTTTCTTTTTTTCCTACTTTCCCACTTTTCTCTCGCGTAAAATTTCCTAATCAAAATTTACACATCTATAGCAAGCTTCGTTTTCACTAAAAAAGCAAAACAAAAATTAACAATTTACCTCTTTCGTCCCTAGAGAGAGAATTCCATTGTGGTTAAAAAAACAATTTGACCTTCCCTTTTCAATGATATGATGCAATGTACATCCGGCATTCTCTCTTGGTGAACGGTGCCGGATAACAAACGACATGAGGATTTGTTTAAAAAAATCATAACCAGCCTACGTCAGTTCAATTGAATATGGGAAAGAGCACCTAGCGTAAAATCAATCAATAATAGAACTAAAGCAGGTGGAAATTATTATCGAATGATTGAACCTATATGTTTTTAAATTATGATTGACTCATTGACATGAAATCATGCTGCAAACTTAATACAATTGTTCAGATTTATATATTATTATACATTTTGTGGAAAATAACAGTAATGACATTTCCCAATGCAAGCTCAGTTTGGAGAACGCCAGAAAAAATCCATAATAAACGTCAAGAGAAAAATAAAGGAGTGTCACTATGAAAATAATAAAATCAACAGGCAAATTTGCATATTGCAAATGCAGGATTAAAACGGGAATAGAAAAATATAAGAAATATAAAAACAAGAGTTACAAATGGCAATACGCCTTTCAAATATTAAAAACAAAAATTATATTTGCCAATGTAAAAAAAAATTCTAACCGTTCGCGTCGTCGTATTTTCGCGATGTTGGAAAGGACTATGGTTATTAATACTTGTTATGCGATCAACCAGCCTTTAATACGATGTTGATTGGAATTCGGGTTGTGGTATTCAAACATAAATCGTTGTTATATCAACGCCCAAGCTTTCGACAAGTTTTATTGCCTTCTTCAGGGGATAGATACAAAGTCATAACTTAAACACATGACACATTTCACACAAGCAGCAGCCTTCGGCGGTCAAACCGTTAGAATCGAACAAATATTTTAAAAATTTAACAACTACATTAATTCCAAGTTATATTTCAAATGTGTTAGGGCCAACATACAATTTACCTTATCCAAAGGGGTGTTTCCCTGCCAAAGATCTTATCATGGATGTGGAAATGATTGTCAGTAATATCAAAGACCAAAAAGAAAGAAATAATGTTAGAGCAGACTCAGCATGCATTATAAGGAATGATTTTACAAAAAGCAATGCATTCACCAGCTCCCCCCTTGAAAGATCTATAACAAAAATTCGTGCTTTCATTAAAAACAATCCCAAAGCTGTTAAAGGTAATGTGATAGTAGTGTTTGAAAAATCCTACTACAGAAGAAAAATGCAAGAACTTTTGAATGATAAAAACACATACTCCTTAGTTAGATCTGACCCTACAAAGAAAATTCAAAGTAAATGCAATTCTTTAGTAGATAGCCTTTTTGAGTTTGAATACATAGACAGAAGGCAAAAAGTGCTGTTGAAAACTAGCAACGGGGTTTGCCACAAAAAAAAAAAAAAAAAAAAAAGTGATAAACACAATTTTCTAGTCAAACGCCTGTGATATTTATGCACCTAAAGAATACTAATGGTTAAGTAATTGTTACTGTTTTTAAAAAAAAATGCATATATATGTAAGAGGCTATTAAGAAGAGGTTTTTATTTATTTATTATATATGTTTATAGTTTGTATATATATATCGTGGAATGAGTAATGTGTTTAAGTTATGACTTTGTATCTATCCCCTGAAGAAGGTGTGGTATCGATTTAGTAATTGTGGTATCGATCAACACCTTCCCCCAAGTTTTAACTCCCTAATTCAATGTGGTATGTACCAGACAAGACAACCAATAAAGTGCGTTCCAAATAAACTGTTCATAAAGTGAATACCCAACAAAGGCAATAAAACTTGTCGAAAACTTGGGCGTTGATATAACAACATTGTATGTTTGAAGACCACAACCCGAATCCCAATCCCCCACTATGGTTATGATTCGTTAAAAAGGGAATGTTGAAATATTGATGGGAATTACGTCATTACAAAAATGTGTAACATATGTACTGTTTCTATAAAAAAAAACAGTATATTATTATTAATATTCATGTTCTGGGGTGAGTGTGTGATGTCTGGAGAGCAAAAGTAAGTTATTTGCGGGAATGGAGTGGGTTCGGCCCCGCCCCGAGGAATATCGAGTACTCTGGAGGAGTGACTGTGACCAGACTTTTATGTTAGTATTGTACGTTGTTTACATTTTACTCTATTGGAATGAATGTAATTTAAGCATGAAAGGAAGGGGTTATTTACCCCGCCCTAAGGAATATCGAGTACTCTGGGGTGAGTGAGTGACATCTGGAGAGTACAAGTAAGTTATCAGAGCGAATGGAGTGGGTTCAAACCACGCCCCGAGGAATATCGAGTACTCTGGAGGAGTGACTGTGACCAGACTTTTATGTTAGTAGGGTGAGTGAGTGACATCTGGAGAGTACAAGTAAGTTATCAGAGCGAATGGAGTGGGTTCAAACCACGCCCCGAGGAATATCGAGTACTCTGGGGAAGTGAATATGATCAGTTCTATGTTTGTGGCGATATATATGTTATGTATTGTATGTTGTGTATCTATTCTTAAATTGGCAACCTGAGGTTCTGGCAAGAGGCTAGCTTTTTAAAATAACGACGTAATATACAAGTAAAAGCAGAGAGTCAGTAACCAGGTCGAGATGCTCAAATGGCTGCAGTTAAATACAGAATACGCGAGAAAGACAGGAAAAAGAAGGAATACATGCGGTGGGCCGGCGATGACCTCAGCTGTTTGCCTGCCCATAAACCTCCCACTTTATATATATATATATATATATATATATATATATGTAATATTCATGTTCGTAGAGAAGTAAGAGTATGTCATTTAATTGAAACAGAAACATAACCCTATACTAATAATTGCACTTTTAGATTTTTATTTTATTTTACTTATTTATTTAAAATGGTGAGATGCGGTCTGGTGTGATAGGTTTCAGAAAAACATTTTCTTTATCGTGCCAACGTTTCGATCTTTATTGAGATCATCTTCAGGGCTCAAAGTGTTTGTCTTCTGTGTAATTGTGCCATTCTTGCGTGTCGTGTCGAGAGTGCCCTTTTTATTATTTTACGTATAACTGACGGTTTTCTTTACGTTAATTCGCGTATTCTTATTCGGAACTCCCTCCCCATCAATGGCTAACAAAATTTTACATTTATTTTGTTATTCCTAATTTATAATATTTTTTATAGATTCTTATGTTTTAAATATTATAATTAAACGAAATTTGTGTTTGGCTAACGTATGTTCAGATCCATGTTGCCTTGGTACATTTGAATATAAAACTTACATATATAACATTTACAAATGTCAAGCTACAACTTATAATTACAAAAAAAGTTTTTTTTGTTTAAACAACTAAAAAAGCTTGCAAAATTTTAAGCTCAGCGAAGGAGTGGAGTACAGCAATAATCAATAAATATTATTTCAAATAATAATTGGCCGAATTTGTTGAATTAGCATGTTGTCATAGAAACAAAATATTAAAAAAAATTCCCACCTACCTTGTAAGTTAAATTCAGCCAATAACCAAAACAAAAGATGTATATATAATTAAGTTCACTAGTTTCGCGATCCGCTTGACCAATTAATTTCTTACATTGAAAAATGGCAAAAAGGAGGGAAAATTCAAAAGGTGTGGTTGAGATGGGAAGTTGGTGCCCGAGTGGATCGAGGTCACGATAGCTCAAGTGGTAGAGGAGCGGCGTATCTAGCTGAAGATCGTGGGTTCGAATCCCACTCGTGCCATTGACTTTTTTATCTCAACTCTAACTAAAAACCTTAATTAATTGTATATAATTAAGGAAGAGATAATTTCTTAAACGTCTTTTTAAATTATATTCAGTATGACGATACACGAATTATTTTGTTATTTGGTAGATTCATTTGATATTAACAGAATTACAATGTTA